GAGTACTGATCGGATCAGGGCATCTGAATTTGCTCATGCAACATTGTATAACAACGTCTCAGTTTTGCTATAGGCCTCTAAGCTGAAATAGACCAAAAGTCTCAATGGACTAAGTCTCCCATCGGAAAGTAATGTGCAAAGAACGTCACAAAACTTACTCGTGGGAGCACAACAAAACCAAGATCATGGGCCTACTGTAAGGGTCTCTTTGCTTAGATCTCACCCTTTCAGCCTTAACTTGAGGCTCCAAGCCCGGAATCCTGTCCATCCTGACCCGTGTGTTATCTAGATAGTAGTTTCCATTTTCTTTTCCATTATCCCTATATATCCCCAGTATACTATAGTAGTTTACTAGTAATTTCTATATAACTCCAGTATACTATAGTAGTTTCATTTTCTTCTTCACTATCCCAATATATCGATTTGCTTCACTAAGTATGGCACTCTGACACGTCGATGCGCAGGATCTGGCCATAGTCTCCGAAAGGCGCCTTCGGTGAACCGAAACAGATTTCCGGGGTGCCATCACGGCAGGAGGCTTTAGCCCAAATGTCTTACTAACAGGTTTCTGAGATTCTTGTTCTCCGATAAGTGCCTGCTGTGATGTTCAAGCTGTCTTGGTGCCTTCTGCCACGGTTTGAACTTCATCTTACATCCCCCGGCTACGGCATCATTGGGCAAGAGTTCCCATGTTTCGCACGGAGGCCCGTGCGCATGGTTTTCGTTGGATCTAGGTCTAGGTGAGACACTGTTAGGGGCAACCCCTACGGGCATAGAACCAGCTCGAAAGCTGAAGCCCTGCCCGGCAGCAAACCCGTATATCTCAGACCCCTCCTCAACCCACTAAAAGTAGGCCCAAGCCCTGAGCTTAAAACCCTGCCCAAACCTGAAACCAAAAGCAAGCAGCCTGGAGGGTCGTCTTCTTGAGCCACTCCTTGGGAATGGGCCCAGTGTCTTTGGGCTTCACCTGCAACCTTGGTGCCAGGCATAAGTTATATAAGTTATAAGGCTTGCTCAGATAAATGTTCTGTTTTTTCCTGGTTTCCGTGGAAGTGGAGTGCTTGTTTTTTCTCTACTATGCAATGCAACGTGTAGGGCTTCACGAACCCGTGAAACCATGCTGCTATTGTGCTATCATGCGAACATCTCCTACGAGCACCGTTTATTGTGAGCTTTTCTGATTGGGGTCAAAGAAAGGATTATGTAGGGTTTAAACTGCTCTTTCATCTGAACCTGGCGCACCCTTGGCGCTAACCAACACTCTACACGCCCTAAGCAGCCACGTTAGGGCCAGCACGTCCTCCCTGAGCGTTGCCGCATCCCAAAACAACTTCTGCATGACCCTGAGTACCTTATACCTTGGCGATTACGGTATTCTAGTATGCCTAGGTCATGCACGGTTTTGATTGTGAACAACAGCTCCACAGGTTGAACTCTCTGGCCTTCTCTGAATCTGCTGAGGCCGCGGACGTGACTCCAACCTTGTAGGGGATGGACCCACCGATGCCGCCCTGAAGCAAGCCGGGGTATCAACTTGTTGTAGAAGGTGGATAGGAGTTCTGTATGTGTAGGCTCTAAGTTGAAGGTCAAAGTCAAAGTCTCTCCCGGGGAAACTACGCATGTGATGCTTCAGGTGTTTTTCTTGGCTTTCAGGCGCAGAGGGGCTCTTGCCTACAGCTGCAACATTCCCCCTTTACCCACATATCATGCATACTTGTATGCTTGTAGGTGGTGCGGGATCCAAGACCATTTTCATGAGAGAGCTAGCACTTGTGCGTGTTTACATAGCCTTTTGCCTTCTCCAGGGCTCCTAAAGGCGTTCACAAGGATTCGGCCTGGGCTCCCTCGGTGCATACTGAAGCTCGGAGAAGTTTTATTGTCACAGCTTTCGCGCGGAGGAGTTTAAGATATCAAAGGCAAGGCTCCTAACCTACTAGAACCCTCAAGCCCTCTCAAACCCCCAGAAACCTTGAACCGGGCATTGAAACCTATCGTAAACCCTGAAAACCGCTAAATCCAACAAGAAGTTGGTGTGAACACCCCCTTCTTTCGGTACAAAACCCTTTGATGTCTTAAGTCCCATGCCCGCGCTACATGTATCACCAGAGACCGCGGAATTCCGCAAAGAAGTTGGGCAGTAGACATGCTTAATAGGAGGCAAGGTTGGGCGCATAGTATCTGCTTGGATCATCCTTGGCTTGCATATGTGAAATGATCCCGGTCCCCTTCCGACTCGGATTCCCTGACTTCGTACTGGTGGCTTCGAGGTGGGAAAGGTGAGCCAAGTGAACCCACAGTCAGCGCGAAAGTCGGAGCCCAAGAGTTGGGGATAGTAGGGGATGGGAAGTCTGTGATTAAATGGTCTGAAACGAAGGAATCAACCCAAAGTTCAACCGCAAGGATTATTATGAAATTCCCCCTGAAACCCATGCAGCTATCATGCCTCGCGCAAAGAATCGAACCGGTACCATCATGCCCCTATGCCCAAACTACCCTGCACCTCACGCAAAGCCCTCGCAGAAGGTCCATTCATGGCGCCAGCAGCTGCGTAGGAGTACTAAAACTCAAAGGCTCATGCTGGGAGCTTAACCGTTTGGCTGCAAACCGCCTGGGCCTTCATTTTGGGAACTGCCATTTGGAGCTTTCTAGGTCTTTTCATCTGGCTTAAGCGCAGGCAAGGGATGTCCTTGACTATTCACTTGTGATCCTATCAGGGGGTACGGGCTTGGGGTTCCTGGGTTGGCTTGCTAGATGGTGCCCACTGCGCCGCGTAGCTTGGCTTTCCATCCTGTAAACCCTGTGAGTTGATAGGCGTGGAAACATGTCCCTAGCTTGAAAATGGAGCTGAACAAACCACTAGGTAGGGACGTGCGCTGTGATGATGCTGTGCACTTACTAGGCTTTCCCTGTGAGCACCAACCATCACCGATGAAGAGCCGGTCAACACCCATAATTCCAGCTGCCCGACTAAGGACCGCCGATGAACCTCCGAGTATGTCGTCGGATCCATCGGCTGGAAGCCACGGCTACTGAGGCTTTACCAAACAGCATGACAATTAATCAAAATTCCCGGCTGTATGCTGCCAAACACTGGACAACCCTCCCGAGGCAAAGCAGAGATCAGGGCGGGGTGTAGGATGCTTCCCTGCTCACATCATACCTGTTCAAAATGCTGAACCACAAGCACCTAAAGAGAGGTCACAACTTTAGAAAGTACAAAGTGACCTGGGAAGCTTGCTTAAGCTCCTGCCTGCCTCCTAGCACCAGCTCAGCGTCACAGAGAAACATCTCAGAACCCCCTACTTGTATAGCTGAGCCTGAGGAGCACACTCAGCATTTAGCCCCAAAGCCCTCCCTGACTACCCCCAACCGTACCCCTGAACCCCTTGAAACCCACTACCCCTTAGCTGCCTGCATCTAGAGCCCATCGTCAACTAAGATTACACCAAAAAACAGCACCGTGCCCCGACTCTCATCTACGACATGTCAGATTTCATAACAAGACCGAACTTGGAGGGCAGGGAATATCTGGGCTGGACGCCAAATCTCCCTTTTTCCACCATCTCATTGCGGGAAGTCCAAATGAATGCCACCTGAACTGCAGGTTGGATTTTATTTCTGATTTCTTGGGTACACCAACAGACACCCATTCAAGTCAGGATCCTGTGCTGCTTTCCGTAGTTGTAATGGTTAGGTTGGTGTCAAGCAGTTTTAGCCAAGACCACACCGCGCTCACCCCTGAGCGCTCGGATACAGCAGTCGTCATCTAACTTTTCAGTATTGCAGGAGCTCGCACACAACAGCTAGGGCGCAGCTAGGGTTCATGCCTGCAAAAAACCAGGCAGCAACGCTGAAGGTGACTTAGGCCCTGACGCTGCCGCAGCATCTGAAGAAATGTGGCCTCAGCTGCCCACTTCTTTGTTTGAGGCCTCCTTGAATTTGCAGGCAGCATGCTTGGAAACGGGCTTGTCGTTTCAATTCAGAACGCTAGTGCTCAAAACTCAAGGACGTGTCACCGCGACGCCTTGTCATCACTCCAAAGAGGCGTGCCATCAAACCCTGTGTACGCTGATGAAACCTGTGCTTCGCCTGCTCCGCCGATTCTCTGGCGACGGTGCAGACTTGTAAGAAATCATAAAGCACGGAATTTACAAATCCTGCTGTGGACTTGTGCTGTCTCTTGGATGCAATGCCAAGCGGCATAATGCTTCTTCCACCTGAGTTCTAGGAAGGAGCGGTGCGCTCTCCGGGGGTCTCCATGTCTTGAAGGCCATGTTTTTCGTCTACAAGGTGCTGAGACAAGATTACATGGCTGATGGTTTCTAGCTCCTAGTGGCTGAAGCATTGGACCCTCACACCAGGGATCAGCAGAAATGCAACCCCGCTATGCCACTGCTAGGTGCAGATTTAAATTCGACCCATCAGCATGTGATCCTGCACAGCACAGATCTGTTTCTCTGAGCGTTCACACAGGTTCTGCCATGTCTCCCCCACGGCAGTACAAGCGAAACCCCGCAAGTGGCCTACAACTCTGAGATACCTTGCACACGATGTAGCCCCACGTTGATGAACATGTCATGAACGACCATTAGGCTTAAAACCTGGGAGATGCTCCGCGTTGGACAGATAGGGTAATGAACGGATGTTTCCATCAGAAAGACAAACACTCATCAACCTGCAGAGCTTCACGAGGCCAAAAATTATATCTATGCTCCCCCAAATTGACACCCCTCAAGCAGACGTACCATTATTCCAAGAAACCCTATTTACATGCACCACGAATCCTAATCCAAACGCTACTTTATATACTCTCTTGGACATCTTATACCTAAGGGACTTGAACACTCACCCAAAAACCCTAATATAGGCCCTGCTTCATAGGATCCCTTTACTATAGGCCTTATACTTCATAGGATCCCTTTAATACAGGCCCTATACTTCCTTGGATCCCTTTCGTACGGGCCATATATTTATATGAATATATATATATACATATATAAATACACGTCATAGGATCCCCGGGCAAGCTGCAGCTCGAAGGCTTCCCAGTTCCACTCGTACTTCCTCGTCGGAGCCGTCACGTTCGTTTTGCCTGCCCAAGAACTAAGCACAAGAACTAAACATCCTAAGCATTAAATACCCTGCAGCTACCCAAATAAGGGATTGCTACGATCATGGACTTTTTGAAGATCACCTGGCCGAAATTGCAACCTTTCTTGCCTGAGTTCTGCCAGGAAAGAACTGACGCTTGGTGAAACCATGCAAAATCGCTGTGAGATCTCAAGCTTTGGAACTTTTTTTGGCTTTGGAACGCATTCCATCGATGGAGACTCACCAAGGTAGTCAGAACAACAGCACGAGGTCTCTCTCGAAAGCCAAAAAAACAAGTAGGAGCCCGTGCAAACTGCTGCCAACCTGCCACCAGTATCAACAAGCGTATCTGAAAATTCCAATTTGAGACGGACCTCCTCCTGCACCCTACATCCATGCCTTCTGGCAGCACGCTTCTCCACCACGCGCCTGACGGCACTAGTCCAGCAAACCCTTAACTTGAGGGGGCTGGGGCTGCGTCTAGGGATTGTTCAGCAGGATACAAGCACACAGGCCCGTGCCGTCCCAGACAAGCATGAGTCAGAGGAAATAATCCCATATCCGTGGGGGCTGCATCCCTAGGGTCTGCTCTAGCCTTCCCCCACGGCAAAAGGGTCTTGGTCACAAAGGTAAAAGGGTCTTGGTCATAAAGACCCCTTCTGGCAATCATACTACAGTCCTCCTCTCTGTCCCTCTCTCTACTGTGCCATGCAGATGGTGTGGCAACCTAGGGCACTCAGCATATTACCGCAGTCCTACTACAGTATATGCCCATTGCAGCAGTCTTTCAGGTTCAAGAAACTCAGCTGCAGAATACCTTGGGTTGGGCCCCCAAGCTCGAAGAGGGACCACAGTGACCACAAGAGATGCTGGCAAGTATAGTAAGGCCTCTACACATTCCTATGGCAGCACTATCGCTGGACGGGGGGCTCACCTAAACAGCCCCAAAGCGTAAACCCCAAACTACAGAAGCCCAGGACCCTAAACTCCTCAAGCGGGTCCTTTCAGGTGGATAAGGTGCGCTGTCCCTGGCAGCAAACCGTCTGCCGTGGACTCGGCATCATTCCTAGGCTCACAGACGGCTTTGACTTTGGATGATATAGGGTTTGGGGTTTAGGGTGTGGTAGTTACAATAAAAACAATGCCAATCGCAATAACGCAAAATACTACTTAGAACCCCAGTGGGAAATCCTCTGCTTTGGTTTTGTCACTGTTGCTCTTCCTCCCCGACTATCACAGGTATGGCGCACCACGCTTGATGGACAAGTGACCCTAGGCATGGTATACTCTTAGATTTGGCTATATAGTGTCATGCAGGACTCTGTCCAGCACCAGCCTGAGGAGTGTTAAGTGTAAGGGTTCCACTCAGCAGGGACAACGGGACTGAGAGTTTTGAAGCGTGGTTCTGCGAATTGCAACGGGAGCTGGCTTCTATATTCCAAAGCGGAGTCATCTCCAGGTTGTGTCAAAAGCTGCCCTTGGCCCTCTGAAAAGCCATGTTTCGTGAGATATATCAAAGGCTGACATCTGCTTTTACGAAAACACAATTGAAGACCTTCAAGGCAGGATATGGGGAATGTATGAGGATATGTAAGCATAGACTCATAGACATATTTGTGCTTGGAGCTTCTCCCTTTTGAAGGGGTTGCGGGATTCACGTGCACGCCTATTGCAAATGTCGACGGGAATTCCGTACCTGGGACGTATCTAACAAGGATCTTGAAAGCATATTGTAATCTACCTACCTGGAATGGGCTTCCACTAATAAAGTGCCTTGCCCGCACATATAGGTGTTCTTAGACTATGTTCGCACATTGGGGAAGATTAACAAGCCACCAAAAAGTCACCAAAAACAGTTGGCTCCTGGTTGGAGGGACCTCCAATGAACGATCCATCGTTGGCAAAACCTGTTAGCAGATCCTTCTGCTAGAGGCATTCGGTTCTAGCTGCTCAAAGGCATTCCCAGAGAATGTTCTCGACAAACTAAGAAAATGTTTGGCTGGGGGACATTATGGTAGGCACCAATGCAAACCTCAATGTAGATAAGCCCCAGACAACTGAATTCTCGATCTCCTGCAGAGTCACTTGGTAGAATTGGCTTTACCCAACGTGCCCAAGTGAGTTTAACAAAAAACAGACAGTCTGCACATATCCAGGTAAGCATCACATAATGAGTCGGAAGGCCTCAGATGTCAGATGGATGCACGGGAGGTCTCTGCGCTTTGAAGGGATGTACAGCACGGGCCAAACCAAAAGAAGCACAGCCCCATGGAGCGAATCTCAATATACTATAGTAGTTTCCATTTTCTTTTCCATTATCTCTACATAACCCCTATATAACCCCAATATACTATAGTAGTCTCCATTTTCTTTTCCATTATCTCTATATAACCCCTATATATAGCCCCAATATACTGTAGTAGTTTCCATTTTCTTTTC